ATGAAAAAGGTGTCATTTTAAGGGAAGTGCCAAGAATAGATTTCAAGAATAGACGTATGCTCATGTTTAATGATAAACGGAGGGGATGGTATTTGCCATAGCATGATGACAAATTAAGAACACAGGATTTTAATTTGCCCTTTATAGTGTGGGCTTTTATTTTTTTCAAAATAACTCTAAAAATAATTGCTTTTAGCAAAACCCTGAAAAGTGCTTTTAGTGACTTATGAAAAGTTATGAGGTTCTTACTAAACTGGTCAGGAGAGATAAGTAATGCCAGCAATTTCTTGTTCTCCCTCTCATGCATCAAAATTCTTTCTCTGGCTGTCTCTCATCTGGCAGAGTTAAGTGTGGGGTAACGGTGGTGTTGTGACTAATACACAAAGATACCAGACTCTAGCTAAAGAGGGCCCATTTTTGACGCATTTACTGTTTACTAGTTTGTTACACTGAGTGACATGCTGCTTGACATGATGCAATTTTCGACATACGAGCATTAGTCAAATATCCAGAGTAGAACAGATAATCTCTTTAAACCCATTCTGATCTCAATGAAGACTGTAATAGCCAAATTCTGATCATCGTAGAGTGCATACAAGCATTTCTGTTGCTCCTGTGGTATTTACATACCACAAATAACTGTGTATTTGCAGTGGTATAATAAAGACATCACTCATTGATTTGGCTCCTGTTAAGCTGCACTGCAATTCAGTATTCATTTCAGAAAAAGAATGACTGATAGGAGGTGTTGACACCAAGATAAGGTAAAGCGTAAGAGCATATAATGACAGTTTAAAGGTCAGTGTTTAATTGAATATTAGATAAGAGGAGATATGTCCATTTACATTGTATGTCTTGAGATTTTAGACTTGCTTCTGCATTATTTTTAGCAACTGAGACCCTTTATTTGCAGGATTGATGGTTTCATGGCTGTATGTGACCTTTAACAAATGAATGATCTAGGTAAAGTTGTTCGCATAATCGCTTTTGAGGAGAGTTTGCATAAAAAACTTTATCTTGGAGAAAATTCTGTAAAAGCTAGTCAAACGCATTGTTCTTACGAAGCTTGGATTAAAAAGCAAATAAGCCACCAAACACACTTGCACCTGGTTGCAGAGATCTAAAGACTAAGGCCAGGCCTTGGTTTTATTGATTATTCTCTCTAAAATCATAGAAGAAAAGCAAATTAGAAGGTCTGTCTTCAGAGAGTGTTTTTCATTTCATAGATGAAAAGGTAATTCATAGCCGGAAATCACCCATGTGCAATAGTAACGGCTTGCTATTGTGGCCTGAACATGAATACCAGGAAGGTGTAAAATTCATCAATACTACACTTGGCTATAAATATGATTTTGAGTCTTCAGTAGCAAAACCGTCAAGAGTGCAGGTTTATTACAAGCACTGAAATGTGGAAAGGAGCACACACTACTTGTGTTATTAACATGTCAGCAGCAGTAATGTTATTATAGTGTTAAATGCGTAGGGACGTACTTGAATGCATTTTTGTTGGGGTCAACAAAGGCGTTTCACGAATGACCAACATCTCTCTTAGAATGAGGGGCAGGAGGCTGGAGCAGGGGTCCTGTCCCATCCCGTCTCACACCTCTGCTCTTTCAGCCAGCTGTTAAATAACCATGTTTGTAGGCTGCTCAGGCTTCATCTTGTAATTGATTTCTCCAGCACCCCTAGGGGAGACTATTCCAGAGTTCTGTTCCTCTCCCTCCTTTTCTACAACCTGCAGTTTTGAAATATCAGATTAATAGATCGATATTTTCATCTATGGAAAGCTTACCTGAGACTATCATTTAGAGATGTCTTACACTAGTGTCATTTTTCTGTCCTCTTTGCTCTCTAAGGTTTCTACATTTAGACTGGTGATAGGTATATAGTTCAACTTTACAGAAAACTAGTGTCATTACACGTCTACAAAATTCTCAATGCGTCCTAAAATAATCTTTTTGTAAATATATGCAGTTTATTGTGTGGTGGTAATGGCATAAAGCTCTTACTGACATGACTTAAAATTCACTTATGAATAACATGACTGTCTCAAAATTATTAACCATTCTGCCCTGTTACAGCATCTTGTATTCCATGTTTTACAGAAGAAAAAAAAAATATATTGGAAATGTGGGATTGTCAGTCCCAAGTATGTGTTCACCCAGGAAGGAATTGTGCCCTGCTACCATGAATCTAACTTTATGATCATTGGGGGAAAAAAATTGTAACTGATGTTTAGAAAAATGTAAGCATCTCAGTATGTTTCTGTATGTAGTAATCAAGTATGTGTCGCTTTAAAAAGAAAGTGATTTCTGTTTTCTATAAAGGTCTCACGGACTCAAGGCTATTACCTGCCTGAGGGCTCTGGGCGGTGTAATCCTGAGATGCTAGAAGTTACTCTCTTTTAATACCCTTTCTGTTATTGGTCCTCCAATAAGAGTGCCTGTAAGTGTTTCAATTAAAGTGAATTTGTGATAGTTGTTTTTATCTCATGGATATCCACCCACAGCAAATCTTAGTTCCACGCTGCAGATTTTCAAACAACTGTTGCATGGTAACAGCCTTTGGCTACTGTGGCATTCTTACTACGTCTAATTCCAGGACTAAAACTGAGAGACTTCATCACACTGTTAGTCTTTGCCTGGAAAGAAAACGTTCCTTTTCCCTGCTTTACCAGTGTAGCATTATGCTCATTTCTGCCCCAAAAATTGATTGCTTGTCTGTTTTCTTGGGGAAGTCTAGGTATATTTTTCACCACCAGCATTATATTTCTGCCAGCTTGTGCAACAGCTTTGAGTTCCTTATTTCTTACAACATTATCTCATAGAAATTATTGTTATTTTGTTCAGTGAGTGAAATTTACTTGTGTGCTCTTGAAGTAATGGAGTGCTATTTAAACCTTGTTTCAAGGAAGATGTTAGAAGTCTAGTGGCTTGTATACCACCCTCTGGCCACAGAGGTGCTTTCCCAAAAGATATGAATGTATGCAGGTGGATTTATTCAGTTTAATGTAGTGCTATTACCATGCTATGGACCCAGAAATAAAATAACAGAGCCCTACAGTGTCCCTCTCAACAAATCTTATTTATACATAACTTGACAGTAAAAATAAGAAGGTGAGAACATGTAGCAATTCTGAATTTTAAAAATTATGTTTGACATGATTGAAAATCGAGTAAAAGTAACGACCAGGTTTTTTTCTACATGTTTTTGGTGGAGTTTTCTGATAGTCCTTCTCTTGTCATGTTTCTCTTGGCACATCAGGCTTTTGGGATACAAAGAATGTCAGGCTTTCCCTCTAATTGGAACTCTAGATGTCAAGCTGGTAATAGATGATTCAGTAGTAGGTCTATCACCAGTTTTGTATTAAGTCTGGACTTTATATATATTTTTGGTTCTTTAGAATGTGAATCTGCTTGATAAAGGAAAATTTTTTGATTGCCCTATTGCATCGACAGAACCAATATTATTTTTTAAATAGTTCATAATACCAAAAGTTTTGTGTTGCATTGTGCACTGTTAATATGAGTAAACTTGCTTTTAATATTTTAGTGTCCTTTATGTAGCCATGTTCATTACGCTTATTTTCCTAAGTTGTTTATGATAAAATTCAGAACTCCTACATGAAGACTTTCCTTTTTTATACTATGTTGTTAAGTGGGAAGGAGGAAATAAATGTGAAGACCTGGATCGTATAGAAGATTGTTCTCGTCATAAGTTAAACAACGTTTTGATGTCGTTGCTCGTGTATGGTTGAAGAAATTAGTAACCAAAACCTGTGTTACTAAACCAGATTATTTTCTCTGTGGATACATTAAAGTACATACAGTGTACACAGTAAAAGTCATAGACTGGCCCAAATCACTCATACTTTGGAGTTTATGGAGGGGGAAAAAATGTTAAAAGATCAATGGAGAGGAAGGGAGAAGAAGAGAATTTGAAGACCGTATTAAGAGAGGAGGCTAAAATAGAATTTACATTTTTTCCCAACATATATAATAACTGTTTGAAGGATAATAGTTTAAGGGTTGTGAAAGGCTTATATGCTGAATAAAGTGTAAATGTATTTACCTAATGCTATTGGGATTAACTTTCCTGTGTTGAGAAGATGGCTTGGTATCATTGATATCTGTAAGAACTGCTTCTTCCCATCCACCTAGAGGCAAAGGGCACACAGCCCTAAGAACACAACAGTAGGAAAAGATAGCAAATTGTCATAATGCAAATATGTACTTTCGAGTAATAAACTGGTGTTGCTTAAATGGTGGTTGAGGTGACTAGAAGGAACTGGAAGTGGCATATAACATAACGCCATGTATACAAATAGCAAATTAGGGCCACTTAATTTTTTCTGTAGTACAGGAACTTGTGCTGCTTGATGGAATTGAAAAATGACACATTTAAAACCGGATAAGAGGTGTTCTTTCCTCACAGATCGCATGGATGAGTTGGAGCACTCTTTGATGTCACTGTAGTAGTAAAAATCAGCAGGATTCAGAATCTTTTTACTCCCACTGACAAAATACTAGACCTTTCGAGGGTCTGCTAGATCTGCTGTGTCTAACGTGGAGATATGGGGGAGTGGGCATATGAGTATTTCTGGACAGTGAAGAGAAGTAGTAGAAAAACTAGTAAAAAAAAAAAGTAGAAAAATCTTCCGGTTTTAAAAAGTGCAGGCATCCATTGTGGTCATGTAAAGGTTTCTTGTAAGACACTTTTGCTAGCAGCAATAACGCAATATTTAAATACTGAATAACTTCCCTGAGTACCAACTGCGAAAGTCAGCGCTTTAATTAAAGCATGGATATTGTGAACTAGTTCAGAGCTGTCTGACACAATTTGATTGCGGTTAGCATTTAGTAACCAGTGCACTGCTAGAACACAACTGGATTTTGTTTGCCAGACATTATCTTGGACCAAATTGTAATACATGTTTGAAATTAATACCCTAGTTACTAACCATAAAAGAGAATAACCCATTTCTACATTTATTTTCCCAGACACCTGAGGAGCTAGAAGATGTATCTGACCTTGAAGAAGACCATGATGCACGTAGTCATACAAGTATTCAGACTGAAGGGAAAACTGACAGGGTATGTATTACACCAGTTTATTTAAAAAGCAATTTGATGAGGAGAAGAATGCTGCTATGTTCTTATGAAGCCACTTAAAGTCATGCAGTGAATCGTTAAAATCTTGTTCAACTCTTAATAGATTTCTGAAAATGTGCAGAGGGCATAAAACAATGTGTATGACCTGAAAGAGAAAAAGACAATGTAATTAAGTTGTAAATACTTGGTTAAGATGTAGAATTACAAAATATCTCAAGTTGGAGGCGACCCATAAGGATCACCAAGTCCAGCTCTCTGCTCCTCTCAGGACTATCTAAAACTAAACCATATGACTAAGTGTCATCCAGGCACTCCTTGAACTCTGACAATGTCATCCAGGCACTCCTTGAACTCTGACAGGCTTGGTGCCGCGGCCGCTTCCCTGGGGAGCCTGTTCAAGTGACCGATGTAAATTAGACAGAAAAATTCTTAGACTTTCTGAATGAAATTCTGACAGGTTGCAGTTTCATAAATGTGCCTTGGTCTAATAGAAGCTATATTAATAAGCACTTTTTAAATATCTGGGTCTTACTGAAGCCTGCAATGAGCATTAACAAAAAAATAGCCTCTACGTATGAGGAATTTCACATGCACAGAAGAAAAAGGGAGATGTGTGGATCTTAGCCAGTGCAGTGTGTGTTACAGGCTTCTGCTGTGTTCACGTGTGAACCTATTCTGCAGTTTATTGCTTAACTAGTGAATTCATGGAAAACTTAATACAATATTTGACAATTTCTGTATTTCTGGAAGCTCTGAATCTGGTTTTCTTGCTGTATCATCATTTAACCTGAGGACTTCACTACATTAATGGTTATTGTTTATTATTTACATTCAAACACTAAAAGTGTTTAAAGAGCCTGAAAACGTTTTTGAGATAACAAAAGGTTTCTTAGTACTAAATTGATTTATTTAGCAAACATTAATCATCTTTATGTTTCCATTTTAAATAATGTTTCAGCAAAACTCTACTCTGTTCACAACTTTCTGAAGTGGAAAGATCCATGGGGCCAGAAATGTCAACTTCATTACTTGTTTGCTCAATACCTAGAGAAATAACAGATCTCTCACACTTGATTATTCCTAGTAGTATTCCCATAATGGAAATTATAAGTGATAGAACTAGTTGCAAAAACCTGAAACTTTTCAATATAGAAAGAATTATGTCAAGAAAATGGCATTCTAATTCATGTTTGGTTTTCAGTGAGCATATTTTTTTTGTTTACCGAACACCAATATTTTCTTTATCAAGACCTTAAATACTAACGAAAAACTACAAACCAAAATGAATGCTGTTGACTTGTGGTGCATATGTGCTTATCAATTACATGTTAATTAACCGTCAATCGATTCTTAAAACATTGTGAGAAATGTGACAACTGTGTGAAAGATCACCTCATGCAATCTTACTACTCAATAAACATAATTGGCAATTAAAATATACTAGCTGCCCTTTTCAATTAAAATTACTCTTTGTAAATGTTAGCACGTTTTTCCCACATTACAGGCTGAAACTTCTATTGTAGTTAAGAAAGGCAAGATTTTCTTTCAAAACATTAACGTTTCATCCATATAAGATGCTATGAATTGTTCGAAACAGGTACAGGTGGTGTGCTTGTGTATTTTCATAAATATCCTATAGTGAATGCACTTGAAGGTTTTCTCTCACTGAGAAAACAGTAGTAGTAGTTTGTAGATGTTTACTATCCTAATACAGTAACAAAAGATCTACTAAAGCTTTAAAAGATCACGTTTTCACACATGGTCTACCACGTCTCAGGTAAATCAGAATACTTCTTTAACGGGCATGTTCTTTGAAAAGAAAATCATAAATAAGACATGCTTCCAGATGTCTGCACAAAGCAAGGAGTAAATGCCAAGGACCCTTGTAGGTAGGGAGCTGGCTGTCAAGAATCAGGGCCGTAGGTGTCTGTGGAGAGATATCTCTGCGATACGGTTTTACTTGTACTACACACACGATGTATAATCTGCACTGTCAGTGAATTCGGTGGAGAGGTGGAAGGGACAGTTATTTATAGATAAACTGTGGTGAATACTTCTGAAAAAAACAGTATTTTAACAGTATGGGGTGCACATTTCTATTTTTTCTTCCATTTCTCCCCAAAATAATACAATTACTGTAAATGTTCCTTTGTGGGAGATCTAGTTGGCAGTCATTACTTAAAGCCTGGTTCTTTATCTTTACTTGGAAACAATTTTCCTAGTTTTCAGATTCTGGTATCAGGGCCATAAATGGTGATTACCCAGAAAATTAATAAGAAATTATAGCTTTGACAAAATTAGATACATACCTTCTTAACCTAAATCAACATGTTGACAGAAGCCTTCACATCTGTTTACTACTGCAGCAAACATGAACAATATTTAAGGCCTCTTTGTTTGGACTGCTATTTGGTATTGATATTTGAAGATTTATACCTAGAACGTATTTAGCAGTATGAAGCATCTGTATCGGGAAGATAGATTTTAAGGTCTATACAGAGATTGCCTTTTGTTTTGTCCTCTGCAGTAGATTTCCTGTGCTGTTGCGAGGCTTTGCATGCAGTGGTAAAAGAATTGCTGTGTTCCAGAAGTGGTATGGCAAGATTGCAGAGCAACTTATTTTCCTCCTTGAGTTCTTTCTCTTGGGCATTTCCACTACAGTAATTTTTTTTTATTATTATTATTTATACCTGTCTTGATACTAGTTCTGCATAGCAGCACTCTTGATTCCTCTTGCTTTGTCAAGTGTCATGTTTTCTCCCATGTCATGTCTCAATGTTCCAACAAAGAATTAGTGCCTATGAAAGCACTTTTTTTTCTTTCTCTTTTTATCGTAACATAGAAAATATACCACAGCATGTAACCAGATGTGCTGTGCATGTGCCACTTGTAACAGAGGCTGCATCTTAACTAGCGAATCTCATTTTCCTTATGTAGGAAAAATTAGTGGTGAGATGACAGGATGAGATGTGACCTCATGTTTGTGTTCCTGACTCTGCAAGTATATAGGTAATGTGGGAAATGTTACTTCATTGATCTTTCCCTCAGATAATTCTGTATCTTTAAGATAAACATGATAGTGACTATGGCACTGTCCCACACCATGGGATGCAGGTGAACTTGGGCGATGTGCTCCAAGATCTCTCAGTAGTTAAAGTGGATAGCAGTACTGATTATTACTTGTAGGGTGGTTTTATATCCCTGAAGAAAATCTTTAGGACAAAATCCTTAGCTAGTCTAAAAGCAGGCTCTACTTGTGGGTCCAAGGACTAACACAGGTTTTCTCAGCTGAAAGTTAGATATTGTGTCTAATTTGTGTAGTTACTCTGAAAGCTTGTCACACAGTAATTTTGCTTGAGGAAATTTATGCCATCATGATCAGTGTAATTCTGCTGAGGTAGTTAGTGGCTTATTACCATATGATTTTGCATTGAAGAGAAGGTCAAGTAAGAATTTGCCCAGTTAATTTTCAGACTTGGAAGACAATGAACATTCTGATGATAGGAGAAAATTTATTTTAAGTGTTTAAAGTTACTAAATTAGTGGAGAGAACAGCTTAGCTTAATTTCAAAGTTATTGCTATAGGTTAGGTGTTCATATTGAAGAAGAGGCAAAATGTTTTAGCTCATAACATAATCCACTTGAGATGACGAGCAGAAATGCTTTCAGGCAACCACCCACATTTTTTTCTCAGAGTTCTGAAGACAGTTTTGTGAATACATAGTCAAAACTGTCTGAGAGTAAGATCATCTTTTATACAGATTTGTTGCATGCTGTGTTTGTGCAACAATTCAGGGCTGATACAGAGTTGACTCAGCGTTTATTATTGTGAATGAGCTGAATTATTTTACTGTTTTATTTATATTACGTCTTAAATACAGCAATCATTAATATATGTCTGAAAATAGATTTATCTCTGAAAAATGGCCATACAATAGTCTTGTGAAAGTCTGTAAGAAGAGAGAATAGATACAAAATCAAGCACCAAGAACACCTATTGACACCTGCATAAAAAAATACTTAGAAGGGAAGTTAATTTCTTGTCAAATGAATTAGCTGTTCTTAATCAAGTAACAAAGACTTTACATCTAAGTTCCTACATTACTATAAAAGTTGACATATTTTAACAGGAAACATGCTATTTTGTTAATAAAAAAGCCAATTTTAAAATATTTTGCAAGTTTAATTTTTATCAAAGCCACACACAAGCTTGAAATCCTGACGATAAGAATCCAAGCGTAATGCAAATAACTTCTGTAATTTTGAGTAGGTTCTGTGAATACAATTTTGACGCTTAATGCATGGCAAAAGATTCACTATCAGGAGTCATGATCTATCCAAAGCATTTCATTTCCTTGTGAATCTTAAGTTACCCAAATTTCAGTAAAGGGAAGAGATGAAGTTAATAGAGAACTCAAGGTTGTAGCAGTATAATATTATATACTATTAGAAAGTAAGACTGGGAAGAACCTCAAGAAGTAGGCTAAGCCAGCCATTTGTCCCAAGGTAGAATAAGTATGCTTCTTCCTGATGCATGCATATGCAAGAGCAATTGCATTGCTGTCACTGTTTAGCTCATTACTGGAATTGATTGGGTATTGGAAAGTTTTTTTCTTTATACCTCATAAGTTGCAATTAAGCATGTTAGTACTAATCTTATCTATGGTGGATACAGAGGATATGAGGTTTCCTCTATGTATAATTTTATTTATACTTGTAGATCCTTGTTCTATGTCCTCTGTTTTCTAAACTCAAGATTAAATTAAACTCCAGTACCCTTCATTTATCCTTTAAGATGATAGTTTCTATATATGTCTTTTTGCTCTCTTTTTCTCTCCTCTGGATGGGCTTCAGCTCATTAACGACTTCTTGAATTTTGTGTCCAGACTATTTATGTTGGCAAATGGGTTATGCCAGCCGTGGTCTCTACAACAAGCACTAGTATAAAGTTTACACTATTTTATTCTGTATGCATACTTCAGAATGAGTTTTGTGTGAGGTTTGCCTTTTTGCCAGAGTACAGCATTTTGATCAGCTACAAATCCCCACCCACAGAGACACTGATAACCAGTTTTGTCTCAGTTCCATGTGCATATTGGTGATTTTTCTTAGGTGCAAAACCTTGTACTCAGTTTAAATACATCCTATTCATTTTTTCAGATCAGTTCTCAAGTTTTTCAAGATTGAATTGTAAACCAGGCCTCTTACCTGTCAAACCAAGCCTCTTACGCTGCAAATATGTGGTGTGTACTCTTGGTTCTGTCATCCATGCCAGTGAAAACACTGAATAATGCCAGACTCAGGGCAGGTCTCTTCAGAATTTCGCCTGATGGATCCCTCTGGTTTGGCATACATTCTTCATAAGTATTCTGTGAGCAGTTTTCTAACCAGTATCACATCCACCCAGTGGCAGTTATATCTAGATCATATTTCCCTAGATAATTTATGAGGATGACATGAGAACCAGTGACAAAACTCTAGTGAAGCCCAGATTTATGACACGTTGCATCTTTATGTATAGGCCTGTTACCTCGGACAAAAATAAATTAGATTATTATGGCACAATTGCCTCATCTAAGTCAACCTTTTTAGTGAAGGCTGATGCAAAAATGGCATTAAACAGTTTGTTCTATGATCTCCCGATAGCTTTACCTCTTTATTCAATTATATTATATCTGAAAATATATAGGAGTTGACATGGCAGCACAAATGAGGCACTCTCTGAACTCGTTCAAAGAATGCTGGACTTCAGCAGGCATGCTGCATTCTTAAAATTGGGAGAAGACAGCTGGTGACAGCAAGTAGTAAACTTAACAAAATAAATTCAGCTTCTCCCAACTGTCAGTATCACACACCTACACAGTTCATCTCTAGGGAACATCCTGTGCATTCACTTTGCCATGAAGTGCTGAATATCCACCATTCTCTTTCACCTCTTTATCCAAACTTGAACAATTATTCACTCGGTAAAAAAAGCAGGACGTTTTGTAAAAGGTAGTGGACACATTTTACTCATTTTAACAGAATTGTTTTTGACTCGGTGCTGTCAGGAAACATACTTACATACTGGCGTTCAAAACACATCTGCGTAGTACTCTTTGTAAGTGCCTGTGTTATGCTCAACTTCCTGATGAAACAGGCTCAGCTGATGAGCTTGTATTTTATGACAGTGATCTGCAAAGTTTGTTAAAGAGAAAAAAGTTAAAGGTCACAACGTGAACTGTTGTAAAACAGTTCGATTGAAATATATTACTGTCCTTTCAGTGATTTGAATGGATCATTCACCAAACATTCAGCTGACTGCAGCAGGGGAGCAGGAACATAGGTGAGATGACTTCTTGTGGCTGCTGAGTCTGGTGGAATGAAAAACTTAGCTTTCAACTATGGGAAGTAGGGACACAAATCAGGTCTTTTTGGATCTATGCCATTTTCTTATAACTACAGTATGTGAAGAGCATGTTATTTGGTTTTCTTGCTGATAAAAGCTGTGAGAAGTTTTTCATGTGCTTCATCAGGAGACTGGGGTTGGTTTTCTTTGTAATTTACAAAATTGTAGAAAAAGAGAGTTTTCATCTTTTCTTCTCTATAGTTACATGACACACTGCAACCTACAAAGCAGGAAGTGTTAAAAAATTTTCGAAGGGAGATTCTTTCTTTTGAAAAGGATATCTGGCTTGCCTCTGTCTCAGACAGGAGGCATTTTTGATAACACAAACAATTGCTTGAATGTATTGTGCTTCTTTCTGTCGCTTTTCTTTCCTTACTGCCTCCGTGTAAGTGGTAAGAGTTTTGGTGGTGTGGATCTGGCCAGTCATTTGTTTTAGGGGATCAGGAAGGAAAAAATGCATGTCAGTCTAAGGAGAGAATAATCTTAAGTTTATATGAAAGTCAGTTCCTTAGAGTGTAGCCAGGGATGAAGGTAGGCAAAAGGCCAGTTCTTCAGGTTGGGTTCTCATCGACGAGTAATATAACAGTGAGAGAACAGTCAAAATCTTCACCAAGTAGGCACTCCCTGTATATCCTCTATTTTTATCATTATGTGGACAATTTGTTCTGTCCTTAGAATTTCAGTATGTGTGATAGTGAATTGACTGAAAGTTGGAAGGGGCTGAAATGAAAAGAAACACCAGTTTGCTCACATGGTAAGTCAAGTTGCAAATGGGATGATGCACATAACCCCAGTGTTGGAGAGAGACTCCCAGCTACTAGGGTTAAACAGTCTTCTGAAGAGTTCATTCAAGGAAATTAAAGAAAAAAATAGATACTGCAGATTTTTTTTGTAACAGGAGAAAGAGAAATATCAAAAATATAACTTCTCTCACCTAGTTTTAACTCTGTTACCTGCTACTGCAATAAAAAAACATCTTGTCTTGGAAGTAATGAAAAAATCATTTTCTTCTGGTGGACAAAATAAAATTGCAGTCATGTAATAGCAGTCATTCAGTTTAGATCTTTATTTCACATTTACCATTATGTTGTCTGTTTTGATACAAAATCATATCTGCGCTTAAAAGGCTGTGTATACAATTGTTTTATTTTCTTGCTGTACATGGTTTTAAAGCAGCGCGAGGAAAATGAAAGAAAAGTGAAGGTCAGAACTATAGTTTCCTTTGCTCCTTTGTTCCAGTGGATAACATGCCTCATTCCACCTGAAACTCGTTACTGTTGGCACATAGCAGGATATGTATGTCACAGTTCCCTCATTAAAATGTCATCTCTCTTGTGGTTTCCAGATCTAGGCCTGTGTTGTGGAACTCAAAACATTATTGAAGCCGGGGGCTAGGAAGTCCTGTAAGACTCTGCCAATCAGTAAATACGTGTTAGATTATTAAAAGGGGTCCTTGAGTTCTCTTGACTCTGTAGCCCAACTCTTACTTTTGTCTCTTTCATATCTTTCCCATCAAGCTTATCTTACAGCCATGAGGAAAATGTGTTGTGGTCTTCTCTGGTCTGTTTTCATTTTGTTGTTGTTTTTTTTTTTTAAAAAAAAAACAGGAAAAATATTCCTTAAAATAGTTACACTTTCTAATTCTGTGACTGCAATTATAACATAGTTATACTTTGGTAGACCTGTAATTTCCTGTAATTCATATAAATGGGAAAATTAACCTTGTGACAGAGTGATTCCAGCATAAATAATATCTGTGAAATGGCACGGCTTGAAAAACATACACATTACATATTGAACTGCTCACCCGTTATACTAATTATAAGTAATTCAGCCACTGCCACAACTTTCTGGTTTATGGATGGTAGATAATGTTTTATAAACAAGAATAAGTCACAAAGTATTTATTGTTTAATTGCAGCATAATCACAGTGTGTTCATAGTTGCTCTATGTAACTGTGAGTTCCTGATGGCCTGCAGTGCAGGAGGTGGGCCCCTTCACAGAGAAGGTGCTGGATAAAAACCACTATGGCAGTAGAGCCGTTAAGACCAACAGGCCAAAAGGTCTCCTTGCTTCCTGTGCTAGATGGTATCATGAAGGGCCAGGACTGCCATATGGCCACGTAATATCTTAGCCACTCTGTGCCTCCTGGCCTGTTTGTGACACAGGAAGTACGTGTGAGCCTTATCTGGAGCAGACTGATAATCTTGCCCATGGAAAAGAATATTAAGTAAAGTATTTCTCTCACCATGCTGCGTTTTCAGAAGTTATTTCACTCTTGATATATTAAATACTTCACTAATGCTTAAATCTAGGAAGAATACACGCATTCAGTATAGATTGAATGTTCTGATTCCATAGTCTGAACTTGCATAAAACACACTACTTTTCTAGCTATCCTGAACCTTTATTTGCAACAATTTTAGCCAGTGGAATGTTTGCAAACAGTCGAGTCTGGAGCTGCAGCCAAGTATAGGGCTGTGCCCTGCTGGAGCCCAGTTTGGCTGTGGCTTTATTTGAATATTGGATGTTTTCCTGTTGGCATTCAAGATACTTTTTTGGTAACCTTATTCACATACTGATTTCTGACCTGTTCATCTATTTATTTATCTTCTTCAAAGACAGAAGATGCATATTTGAACAAGTAAGTCTATCTCAGTTCTTAAAATGATACTGCAGAACCTTCTCAGGAGAGAGGGCAAGCATACCTGAAAGTTTTAGCAATTAAACCTTTTCCTTTATTCTTTCCTACCTGAAAGAATACTGCATTTTGTAACTTGCATACTTAAAAACACTTAAGCTTCTTCATCCTTAACAAAAAGGAAGATCTATCAGCCATATTTCATAAAGGCTCTTTGGAAGAATTTATTGTTTTTTGTCTCACTACATTAGTGTTAATGGTTTCATGAACACCACTGTCCCCATTCCAGTGATGTTATTTATTTGGTCCAACTCAATGATAGCATACAGATTTTGAAGTTCAGAAGTGCTCAGGCTGAAAGAGTTGGCTAAGGCTGGAATAGTTGGCTCAGGCCACAGTGTGTTTAAACTACATATTTAACAATATCCAGTGATTTTGTTTAAAAAAAAAGAAAACCACTCTGACATAAGAGGTTTTTCAAATCAAATTATTTTATATTTCAGGCCAAGATGACTCAACTACCGGAGGCTGAAAAGGAAAAGATAGCTGAGCAAGTGGCTGACTTCAAAAAAGTCAAGAGTAAGCTTGATGCAGAGATTGAAATATGGGACGATACCAGCAATGACATCATTGTTTTGGCCAAGAGGATGTGCGTGATTATGATGGAGATGACTGACTTCACAAGGTAATTATGCAAAAAAAGTTTTCAATATTTGTAAATGTTGGAGGCCATTGTCATGTTGGTATGGCAGGAGATGCTGAGTTATGTCATGTATTAGTGTCTTTACAAATTTGAGTGGCTAAGCCACTGTAGTTAGCTTTACCCTCACCAGTAAGTAGTACTGAAATGTTGGAAGAGGGGTTTGAAATTTTGAACTATACTTGTCCTTAGTTTTTGTTGGGTTTTTTTTGTCCTATTTCACTAATTTGTTTGGTTGAGCTTTTTGCACATTTTTTAGCACTTTATTTCTGCTCTCAATGAAGGGGGGAAAAGTAACAAAATAATCTTGATTTTAAGCTCTATTTCTGTCTCATCCGTAGTTCTTTCTACTTGTACCATACCATACTGTCAAGCATAAAACATACTGCACAGAGCATATATCTGGCGGTACACATTCAGACTAATGCATATATTGTATCACATTACTTGTGTTGCTTTCGTCAGAACTGCATCATGCTGCTGTATGTGGTTTTAAAGAATGACGTGTCCTATAGCAGATAGCTTTCAAAGCTGGTATTTCTCTCTGCTGCCAGTATATGTTCTATGGTACTTGTATACAGGAAACAATCTTAAGTTCAGGACCTTTTGCTGCCATGTGCTGAGTAACTGTTCAGCAAATTTCATCAAAGGAATGGTACCAAAGGGAAGTACTGGTGGTTTGTTTGGTGTTTTTTTTTTTCTGTCTAGTTACTAATAAAATAGTTGCTGATAGGTAGGTGAAGCCTTAAAACAGAACCACTCTTGCAAGACACTTCATGTCTCATAGAATAAGTTCTGTCATGCAAGATAATGAAGAAAAAGCTAAGCCTCTTGAACAAATTCCTCAGGTATGTACTTTACTAGAGTTGCTTAAAGCTGAACCAGGTAACAAAGCTGGGGTCTGGCTTAGGCCAGTTTTGGGGAAGACCATTGTCACATGTTATCAGGCTAGCACTGTCCAAATTCGCCTTCGTGTGAGAGAGATTTAAAGACCTACATGTTGAACTCTGCAGTCCTTTTATTCTTTAGAAAAAGAACGTAATTGTGCTGTAAAGTCAGTCTTTATAATTAAAGTCACTTCCCTCACCAAAATTCTTTAGTTCATTAGCTTTAGATTAATCAGGATTTAGATTAATCAAGGCCAGTTCTCATAGTCAGTTTTGCATCTGTGGCGCTCAGATGAACACAGCATAATCTGCAGTTTTGAGTTGAAGAGCAACTCTTTTCCAGTGTCGCCAATATCCACAGAGTCCACAGAGGACTCTGAAATGATGCTGATAAAATAACTTCCTTTAAGGTAAAATTAAAATCTATTGGGGAGAGAGGGTAGAAATCCTGGTCTTTACTTCACAGTATGGTAGGGAACTACATTATTGGAAGATGGATTTTGATTATTCTCTTCCAAATTGTAGGGAATGTATTAGCTTTTTTACTTCCTAGATGGACAGACTGTAATTAGAGATATGCAGATACATGCTCCTGCATTATGTGTTTGATGCTTAAGTTGTAATTTCTTGGGGGTAGGACTAACCCACGAAGTCTTTTGTTCAGTTTCTAGGACTGTTAGTAACAGAAACCAAGATCACTCTATAATAGTGTATATACAGTAATGGTCTTCTTACAAGATACTTTGGAATGTTACATAATCTCTATAATAGTGTATATACAGTAATGGTCTTACAAGATACTTTGGAATGTTACATAACGTTACCTCCCATCTTTAGAAAGCTGGTTTTGAATACGTCCTTCAGCAATATGTTTTCAAGTTTTGTGTCTTCTTTAATGATGCCAGAGTCTTGTAAAATGAAGGTTTGTGTCTGTCTAAACAAAAGGTGAGCTTTTGTGGATCTTCCTTTCCTCTTAATATTGCTGCATCAAAGGTGGCAGTAAAGTGCTGAGGATCACAGCTGGCTTTCTCACTTCCTTCTCTGTGGAAATCTGGGGATGAATAGTGCAGAGGCCGCAGCAAGCACCAACTCACTTTAGGGTTTGATCTGTCCTAATGCCAAATTCTTGGACATGGCAGAAATAAAAGATTTTGACATTTTGTATTTGTTACATCAGAAGCTACTCAGGCAACTAGTAAATTACTGTATTTGAGTCACTTGTTACGTAAGTTAAACTTTCTATGTGCTACATGACATAAGCTTACTAAAACTTGATGATGAACCTTGTTGCAGTGAGCCATCCTATAAAACATTGTCATAGAAAACTTATACTTGACAGATGGAAAAGTAATTGAGCAAGAGCAGAAATGTATTGCTGGAAGTTTGTAGCAGCTAGCAGCAGCTGCTAATTGGTGGTATGAACACGATAATCAGGCCTGTTTATGCAAAACTGGTTATATGTTTACTGGAATCTGTTAAAAATTTTGTAAAAATACCATCATATTTGCAGTAGTAAGCTTTGGCCCTGACAGGCAGAGGTGGAGGCAGCGGCTGACAGGCATTTACTCTTCCGAAAAGCATGACCCTCTATTGCTGTTTGAACTCTACCAGACTTGTTGCTTTTTTGGGGATAACATATGAAGTTCCTGCCAGTTTTATTCTGGTTGCTGAAGGTTGTTGCTGCTGGAAATGGGGGAGTTTGGTAGAAATTTAATTCCTGAATTTTACTTTGCTGAAAATTAACTGGATTGTAGTTTAGTTTCTTTAGGGGGGGCTATAGTGAATAAGGCAGAAAGAACAAGGAGTGCGAAATTGTTCCTGTATTGCCACGGCTTCAACAGCAAAGGCATTCAGCAAAGCTGAGAAACGAACAAGGTATCAGTGGGTCTTGTGATGTTTTCTGTCTTCAGGCTGTAGCTGCAGCCTCATTCCTGTCTTTCTCAGGAAATACCATCTTGGCTTGGCTCTGCTGGGTTCCTCAGTGGTTGACCAGAAACCTCTCCCTCTCTCTCTGGCCTTATGCAGAAATGAGCAAAGCCTGAGAGATGGTTCCCTTGTGCCTGTCACTTACCATCCTCCTCTGGATACGCAGGAGAGGTGCTTTGTCACGCCTCTGTTCAAAGGGACTGGGTGTTTTCAGAGCACCTTCTTGGCTCAGGATCTGTCAAAAGTGCGTATCTGCATCTCCTGTGAATGCCTGCTGTGCAGAACTGTACAGAATAGGGTTCGTTTGGTTTCTGATACTTCAGGGATTCGCTCAAGATAGCAGGACACTTGGTTTCTTTGGCTAGAGGGGGTTTAAACTTACTTTTCACTTTCCAGAATACTAGGCTATAAATTACCTGGAATTGTGGGAGATACTAACACCGTCCTGTGGATACTTCCCTGCGCAGAAGAGGAGTTTGCTTGGCTAGTGTTCAGGGATTCCAGTAGTTGTTCCAAAAGCTGCATATGTATTTGTCTGTTAAATATTAAAATTCATTGAATAGTTTGGGGACAGGAAGATGAGTACTAGGTTCCTCCTTCCCACAAAGCCATCATTTTTATAGTCCTCATGCACAGTGTACCTGGTAGCCTAGCAGTTGTGGCATTTCTTAGTGAGAGGTAGCAATAAACATGGATTTATATTTCTATGCAATGAAGTCAGACCAAATTCTGCCACAGTAGTGAGCATTGGTTAGTTTATGCTATGGAGAAGGGAAAGCAGGATTTCAGTTCTTTGTTCATCTTTTGAAAGGCCTCTGTTTCCTGGGTGAGGATGATATAAGGATTCCTTTGTCCATAGTTTTTCCTATTGGCCATCTTAGATGACTTCATTATGAGCATTTTGGTTTGTGTGGATCCCATTTTGAATTAATGTAACTCTAATTTACAGAGTGTCCTGCTGTCTAACAGTGCAGTGCATGTGATGTGACGATTGCTGAAGATGTGTTTAAGTGCTGTGATGTTCATTTAGTTGCACCTGAGTCCCTTTGTAGTCTTAGATGTCTGATGTCTCTAATGCCATAGCTGTACAAGGACCATTACTGATGCAAAACTTAAGCCTACTGGTTTCAAAATAGAATTAGTTCATTCTGGTTTTGAGCTTCTGCTTTTCCAGCAGCGACAGATCTGTCATGCTGTGTGGAAATATAGTATTTTAAAGGAATAGCTTCTGTCTCAGCAATCAATGAGCTTTATTCCTTTAAATTGAGCTTTTAAGTGAACATAATTCCTGGAAAGAATCTATATAAACATACAGCAGTCAATTA